TATGATAAAAATAATCCGTCTCATTAGCAAAAAAACTCTTTTCTAACAGATTTAAAACATTTTTACTTTTAACTGAACTTTTTAGCATATTATTCTAAAAGCATTGCATTTCTATTTCTTAATAACAGCTATTTCTAATACTGCAGTAAACACAATTTAGTTGATATTGGAAAATTAGACCCAAAATCAATAAATAACCTAAAACTATTCACGCTAATTACATAAAGAAAAAACAGATGTGAAATCTAATTACTAAAATATATCCCAGAACTTTTCAGTAACCAATAAAATGTTTAACTTCATCAGCACATTTCAAATGCCTGTCTGAAGCTTAAAGGTTTTTGCTCCTAACAAGGATTTCCAAGCATCTGATGAAGCAAAACCGTTTGCAAAGGAAGCACCGTCAGGCTGGAAAGAGCATCTGTGAACATCAATATTTAAGTTTTCCACAGAATGAATAGATTTTATTTTGGTAAGAACTTTGACTAGGCCATTTAAACACATGGACCTGCTTTTAAACTAGTGATGCCAAGACTCATAACCTAGTTCCACCTCAGTAAATACAGCATACCAAGTATAACACATCACAGCTGGTTGGAAACAGAAACACAACAGGATTTAGACGTGTTCAGCATGTGATGACATGTTTTATATATATATATATATATATATATATATATATATATATATATATATATATATATATATATATATATATATATATATATAACAGTATATATTCTAATATACTGTTGGATGCAATGTTTTATTCTTACTCCTAAGTTTCAGCTTTTAAGTTTAACGAATGCAACTTCTGCAGTCTAGATTCTGAAGGGGGAAACTGGGTGTTTCTTTAGGTTTGCTGTATGTAAAAGTACAGAATGCAGTCAACAAACCTATTATCTATTATCAGTATTATCTAGCATGTGCACACCATGTTCTTTAACCATGGTCTTCTAGGCACACTTTGCTGCAGATTTTCTCTGGTTTAACTGACCTGATCCAGATAAACAGCATTCGGCAGGCTGTTAATCAGCCACCAATGGAAATCAGCTGTGCTGAAGCAGAAAAACATCAGGGAAAAGTGTTTAAAAACACTACATTAGAAAAACCCCACTGTTCCCAAATCAACCACTGTGGGGGGGCATCCAGTCAGCCATTTCTACGTGGCTCATGAAGTCTGCCAATCTCTCAGCGGATTGATTTCCAGCAGTTTGGAGGCTCCAGAAGGCGCCAGATGAAAGTGAGAGACAGATCAAAGCCCAACAGAAAGATGTCTGACTGAGGAAACATGGAACAAACATGCAGCCACCTCCATCATCACTTTAAATACGAGAGCTTCACACCTACAGAGATCATCAGTGTTTATAAACCATCAGGCTCTTTGTTTATTACCGTATAAATTAGATTAAATGATCAAGACAGA